TTCAGCTCAAGGCGAGCGCTCTACCACTTGAGCTACAGCGCCACTTCCGGTTTTCTGGTGGTTTATTGGAGATAGGAGTCTCACGGTCTCTCCTGCCCCGGCTGGCTTTGAACCATGATCCTCAGATCTCAGCCTCCTGAGTAGCTAGGATTACAGGCGTGAGCCACCAGCATCCGGCTATTTTTGGTAGTATTGAGATTTCAATTTAGTAGGACGTGGGCTGGAAGATACTCTTTGATTTGAGCCTCGCCTCCTTTGTTTTTCAGCTAGGGCCGCCTGCTGTTCTTTTTACTGGGATCTCTTCCACCTCTGCTTCTTGAGTAGCTAGCATTACAGACATGAACTACTACGCCTGGCTACAGCTGTGCCCTTTAAACTCCCATAGGCCCATGTATAGATGAGGCCACTGAAGCCAGAGACCTGAAGCGTCCTTGCTAAAGTTTGGGGAGTACAGAGCCCAGCTGGGGATTTGGGGGAGCTTTTGATTTTGCAGGGCAGGCCAGGGCCCCGCGTGTGGGCAGCTGGGCGGACTGTGTTGGGAGGACTGGAGGAGGAGCAGCTGTGGTTCATCACTGGGCTCTTTGGAAAGTTGTTGACCTCTTGTCCAGGAAGCTGGCCATTCCCACGTGTTTGGGGCATTGACATGTAAATGGCTTCCTCCGGGAGAAACGGACTTTGGCTGACCACACCTGTTGGGCTTGCCTTGTTCAGGCATCTGTGCCCTTCAGCTGTGACCTTGGGGAGCTGAGCTGGCCAGGCAGGCCCCTGCCCCACCCCCAGAGTCTGTTGGTCCTGCCGGAAGAGCTGGAGAGACCCATGCAGCAAGCACCCAGCTCCATTCCCCCATGACCCGGCCCTCCTTGTCTCCACCACAGGCGCCATGTCCCAGCATTCCAGGGACCCCCGCCCCGTCCCGCACCGCAGCAAGGCCTGTCGCTGCCTCTTCGGGCCTGTGGACAGCGAGCAGCTGCAGCGAGACTGCGACGCCCTCATGGCCAGCTGTCTCCAGGAGGCCCGAGAGCGGTGGAACTTTGACTTCGTCACCGAGACCCCCCTGGAGGGCGACTTCGCCTGGGAGCCCGTGCGGGGCCTGGGCCTGCCCAAGATCTACCTGAGCCCCGGGACCCCGGGCGACCTGGGAGGAAGCAAGCGGCCCAGCACCTCCACCGCCCTGCTGCCGGCCACCGATCAGGAGGACCACGTGGCCCTGTCGCTGTCCTGCGCCCTCGTGCCTCGCTCTGCCGAGCTGCTCGACGGTTCCCCGGCCGGGCCTGGAACCTCTCAGGGCCGAAAACGACGGCAGACCAGCATGACAGGTGAGGACAGGTACCGGGAAGGGCCGGGCGAGGGACTCCCAGGATCCCTGGCCTCGGGGATGACCTATCAGATCCAGCTTGTACCTTGGATAGAGGGAAATGGGGCCCAGAGCAGGGAAGCAACTGTCCTGAGGTCACACAGCAAGACCAAGCAGCTAACACTTAAGTGAGTTTATTTTGTCCTTAGAGCAGTCCCGTGTCCCACATCATTTTTGCCACCCTTTTATTATTATCACACAATACCAATTCCCCCCTGAGAGAGCGCCTAGCTCCGCAGGTTCCTGCCCGCACTTAGCCACGCGTCCCTTTGTCCCTGGGGAGGGGTGGTCCCCAGCCTTGCTGACCGGCTTCTGTCTCCACAGATTTCTACCACTCCAAACGCCGGCTGATCTTCTCCAAGAGGAAGCCCTGAGCCGCCCTCTGGAAGCTTCTCGCTCCACTCCCGCCCGCCCCGCCCCTTCAGATCTCCTGCCTTCTTCCTCACTTTGTGCGTCTTAATTATTATTTGTGTTTTAATTTAAACTCCCTCATGTATATACCCGGCCCGGCCCCTCCTGCCAGCCTCTGGCATTCGTTATTTAAAGAGAAAAGCATTAGGTCGTAGAATAGATTGTTCAGAGGGCTGGACATTTTTTTTTTATTCAATGATATATTATTTAAATCCCTCTCTTCCCAGATGCTCCCCCCACCCCCTGCTCAGACCTGAATCCCTTTGCATTTGAGAAGTAACTAGGTAGCACTTTGAAAAGGCCCGGCCAGAGTAGGGATGGTGTCCGAGTCCCTGGCGCCCCCTCACCTCCTGTAGGTGCAGCGCAGTGACACAGGCTGGGGACCAGGGACATGGGCCTGGCCTAGCCGCCACACCCCCTGCGGCCTTCGAAGGCAGGGAACTGCCAGGTCCTGGAGCAATACCCCACGCCCCCCTCAAGCCCCTTCTGCCTCAGTGTTTGAGCCTTCCTCCCTGTGGGCTCCAAGCCTCCTTTTTTTGGGGGGCGCCCCCAGCTGTCTCCCTTCCACAGCTGGCTCTCAAGGCCCCCTGCTGCCCCCCTACCCCCCCCTCTTTCCTCCTCCCCCATCCCTCCCCTCCCCTCCAGCCCCTCTCAGCTGTGGGTGGCGACTCTGAGCGCTCTCTACCCCCATCCCCCAATGGACTGGAGGGGAAAGGTCACCCAGAAAGTAGAGCTCCCCACTTGTACCTCAGGCATCTGGAGCAGCCATGGCCACCTCCTCTTTTAAGCTCTGGGGTTCGAGCCTTGGGTGGTCGGGGAGCGGGCCTCCTGGGATGGACCCCCAGCGTCCCGAAGTCATCTGTGAGCTCCTGCTCTCCCCCGCGCCATGGCACTTTGAGTAGCAGTGGAGCACGCCGTCGTCGGAGGCCCGGGGAAGGTGTGCGCAGCAGGCCGACAGGAGCTGCGGGGTGGGCGCTGTCATTCCCAGCACTGAACACTGACCCAAAGCACTTAGTGGGTCTGACCCCCAGCCCCCTCCAGCTCCTGAGGTGCTGGCCCGGCCCGGCCCGCGCCCTCGACGGCTGCCTCCCGCCCAGCCCCGCCCTCGGTGCTGGCTGTACGCTCCCATCCAGCAGGTGCTTAATAAACGTTTCTTTTTGACTTGCCATATCACTGCTGTGGTCTTTCTATCCCCACAGTTATGAAAACAGAAGGTGTGTTCTTGGGAGTGGGTTGTGTTCCTTTTATTTTTGTCAGTTGTGGGACTTGAACTTTGGGCCTGGGCGCTGTCCCTCAACTCTTCAGCTCAAGGCAAGCCCTCTGCCACTTGAGCCACAGCGCCACTTTTGGTTTTCTGGTGGTTTATCGGAGATAAGTGTCTCAAGGACTTTCCTGCCCGGGCTGGCTTTGAACCTTGATTGTCAGATCTCAGCCTCCTGAAAAGCTAGGATTACAGGCGTGAGCCACCAGCGCCCAGGTGTAAGTTTATTTTTATTATTAAGGTGTTATACAGAGAGGGGTTACCAGTCCATAAGTCAGGTCATAAGCACCTTTCATTTTAGACAATCCTTGGTTTTCCCCCAGTTTCCCCCCTCCCATCTCTGCCCACAAGTTACATAGTTTCATTTTGTTACACAGTGTCCACTGAGTACCTGCGCTGTGTTTGTTGTGCTCAGTTAAAAAATAAATGTGAAGGGCTCAGCACTGGTAGCTCAATGCTGAGTTCAAGTGTTTTGAATTCAGGGCCTGGGCACTGCCCCAGACCATTTTTTTCCCCTCAAGGCTGGCACTTTACCACTTGAGCCACAGCTTCACTTTTAGCTTTTTGATAGTTTATTAGAGATGAGAGTCTCATCGACTTTCCTGCCTGGGCTGCTTTGAACTGAGATCCTCAGATCTCAGCCTCCTAGGTAGCTAAGATTACAGGCATTAGCCACCAGCACCCGCCCGTACTTGGGGTTTTAACCTAACATGGTAGATAAGTAAATACAAAGCAATTTCAAAAACAAAAGTTTATGTCACTGTGCTTGCATTCCTCAGCTCAGTTGTGATGGGGCTGTCAATCATTCTGCAGTGTCTGATTTTCCCACCTTAAAATTTGCCTTGCAACAATGCAAGAATTTTTACTCCATCATTTAAATTGAGCACATCAGTTTTTACCTTTTGTTTTGTTTTTGTCAGTCGTGGGGCCTGAGCTCTGGGCCTGGGTGCTGTCCCTCAGCTCTTCAGCTCAAGGCTTAGTGCTCTACAATTGAGCCACAGCACCACTTCTGGCTTTTTCTGCTTATGTGGTGCTGAGGAATTGAACCCAGGGCCTCATGCATACAAGGCAAGCACTCTACCACTGAGCCACCTTCCCAGCTCCATTTTTACCTTTTTTTTTCTTTTTTTGGGGGGGTCCGGTCTTGGGGCCTGCTCTGGGCCTGGGCGCTGTCCCTCAGCTCTTCAGCTCAAGGCTAGCGCTCTACCACTTGAGCCACAGCGCCACTTCCAGCTTTTTTTTCTTTTGCTTATATGGTGCTGAGGAATCGAACCTAGGGCCTCAGGCATGCAAGGCAAGCGCTCTACCACTGAGCCACCTTCCCAGCCCCTTTACCTTATTTTTGAGGAGGCAGATTTTTTTTTTTTTTCACAAAACAAAGGGCAGGGAAACCCAATTTCACAACACAAGGTTCCCAGGGATATCCACACAAGTCTCAGTAGGACACTTTCCCCAGCAAAGTCCTAAAGCAAGGGGGGGGGGGGGCTTGGGCCTGTGCATTCTGTCTCTTGCAGGTCACCATCTTTATAATCAGATCTTGAAGCTGATTTTTGGTATGTCCTGCCTTTGGGCCCTGAAGTAATGGGGGTCTGTGAAACCGCTGTTGTGGAATTCTATCTTGTACATCATGCTTCAAATGGGGCCTATCCTCTTGGAGGCTTCTAGCAAAGGTCACCAACACCACAGCTTTATCATTACCATTGTATCCTTCAAGCCTTAACATCTCTTGCACATAGCATTGTTCCTCCACTGCATTTGTACCTTGTCTCTGTCCCCAATACCCGCCTGGCTAAGGCTTGGATCAGATGCTGCCGCCATGCTCACCACCAACATTTGTGTTCTAATTGTCCAATCACTGGTGAGCAATCCCTGACTTCCTGCCATTCCTGGTGCCCACTCTCTTAGTGGTGGTTGTTTTTCTCTCCGAGACAAGGACTTGGTGTGCAGGAGATCTTTAGGGTGTATTTCGTGGACGCTCAGGCAGGAGTGTAGAGAGCATGGGAAAGGAAAGGGAAAGCCAACAAAGGTGCCAGGGAGCAACTTCTGTGGGGTGCAACTGAAGCTCACACCTGCAGTGACTTCTGGGAAAGCACATGGAGCGGGCCTCCTGGTATTGTCTGTTTAGGACACTTAACCAGGTGTCCCTGGGGGGGGGCGTGTCTATGGGACACTGAACCCTGCAGCTGTGGGGGTGCCCCAAGGGCCTGCTGCAGGCTCCCTATCGCTGTCTGTGCTTGCCAGGAGCCAGGGAGGGAGGGAAGGTGGGAAGGTGGATGGGGATGAGGCGTCCACGGTGGCAGCAGTCAGGATCTGATCTCCAGAAGAACTTCCTGGCGTTGGCTCTTTTTGCTCTCACCCAGTGCCCAGCAATGGGGGCTTCTGGAGGGCAGGGCTTGGCCCCTCTCCTTCCTTCACTGCTAGATTCCAGCATCTAGATAGAAAGTGCTAGTGCCTTGTGGAGGTTCAGTGATCATTTGTCATGGCTTGACTCTCCTGAGCTGACCAAATTGCTTTGTGTCTGCTCCATTCCTACCTGCCTCACCCCATCCTGGTGCCCCGGGCACTGGCCCTGCCCTTCATGACTGGACCCTTGGGCCGTCCGTCCCTTACACCGCCTCCCCCATCCCCAAGGCTCTGTGTAGCCTCCACGGCCTCACTAGCAGCCTTCCATGGGGCACTGTTTTCCCTCAGGGCCCCAGATCAGGCATCCAGGCCCTGCCCCACCCCACCCCGAGAAAGTGTCCATCCAGGAGTGAGATCCACTCAGGGCTGCAGGTCATGCTGCCCCGGATAAACCAGAAAGCAGAAGCATCGCAGCTGGGCGGCAGGTGCTAAGCAGAGGCTGTGGGGCCCAGCCTCATGCTCCACAGACCCTGGTCCTTCATGATGAGTTTTCTCAATGATCTGGAAATAGCGCCACCCAGGGAGCCTCTAAGCTGAGCTCCAAGGTACCCATTTTTCTCTGCCTCCTCTCTACTCCACCCTCCTCCCCTGCCCCAACCGATGATTTCTTGCCTCATGGTTGACCCAAACTTGTAAATTCAAGCAGCTATAGGGAATTGAAAATTAGTGAGTATGAGAACGTTTCCACTTGTCCATGGCTTGCTTGCTTATCAATTTTGTTTTAGAAAATCTTCATTCTTTTTTTTTTTTTTCGGTCAGTCGTGGGGCTTGAACTCTGGGCCTAGGCGCTGTCCCTGAGCTTTTCAGCTCAAGGTTAGCGCTATACCCCTTAAGCCACAGCGCTACTTCCGGTTTCCTGCTGGTTCATTGAAGATTCTCATGGACTTTCCTGCCTGGGCTGGCTTTGAACCACGATCCTCAGATCTCAGCCTCCCGAGTAACTAGGATTACTGGCACCTAGCCTAGAAAAATCTTCATTCTTGAGCTAAGTGTATTGCAGTCCAGCTTCTAAGAGTTCTGCTGTTTCTGAAACTCTGCATCCAACCTGCTCCTAGCAGCTAGGCGTCCAGCCAGGCCAGCTTTCTCCCCTGGAGCAGGTGACCAGGGCGGGCCAGGTTAGCTGTGCCCTCACCTCCAGGACTCAGGATGTGGGGACACCTTGCCTGTTCTGCACCCCTTCTATCTCCAGGGAGGGAGCTAAGCCTGGGGCGGGGGTGGGGGAGGCAGGCAAATGATGCCTTGAGAACCTGGGGTTGGAGTTGAAAAGTCCAGCCCCGCTCTCTTCCCAGAGAAGTGGAGAGACGAGGCCTCCATCCCACTCATGACAAAAACGGCCTCTCGTGGCCCATCGGTCACGCACGTTACTTCTGCCTTATCTTCTACTCTTCCCTCCTCAAAGCGCTCCAGCCTCCTGCTCTCCCAAAGCACATTCCTGCCTCAGGACCTTTACACACACCGTTCCCTCCCCATCCATGAGCATTCTTTTTCCAGATAGTCTTCCTCATGAGTTTGAGAGAATCAAGCAGGGATTGAACTCCAGGACTTGCGTTGTTTTTTTCTTTTTTTCTTTTTTTGTCGGTCGTGGGGCTTGAACTCTGGGCCTGGGCGCTGTCCCTCAGCTCTTCAGCTCAAGGCGTAGCGCTCTACCACTTGAGCTACAGCGCCACTTCCGGTTTTCTGGTGGTTTATTGGAGATAGGAGTCTCACGGTCTCTCCTGCCCCGGCTGGCTTTGAACCGCGATCCTCAGATCTCAGCCTCCTGAGTAGCTAGGATTACAGGCGTGAGCCACCAGCACCCGGCTGTTTTTTCTTTTTGTTTTTGATTTTGGTGTTTTGTTGGCCAGTCCTGGGGCTTGAACTCAGGGCTTGAACCTGTCCCTGAGTTTCTTTTTTGCTCAAGGCTAGCACTCTACCACTTGAGCCACTTCTGTCTTTTTCTGCTTATGTGCTACTAAGGAATGGAACCCAGGGCTTCGTGTGTGCTAGCGTGGCAAGCACTCTACCACTAAGCCACCTTCCCAGCCAGGCCTGGAGCTCTCGAACTCTCGAGTTCTCCAATCTGTAATCTATCTGGATGTCCAGTTAGATTGTTTGCTAAAGATCAAGTTAGATAGAAGCCTTGCTTTCTCTGAGGATGAGGCCCTAAGATAAGGAGGTGTGGAGGGGAGGGTACCCAGAGGCATTTCGTTCGCCAGCGGTAGCCACCACTGTCCCCCTCCAGCCTCGGCCTGGGTGAGGACATCCTGGCAGGAAACTGGGTTCAGAGACTGGAGCGCAGCTTCTCCCTCTGCTTGGGCAGGCTGGGAGAACGCTGGAGTCGTCCACCTCACCCTGTGAGCCTCTCCTTAAAAGTCTCCCCCTCCTTCAGCCTCCTCCCAGCCCCCTCCGAGCTTTCTCCTCCACTGCCAAGACTCCAGGAGACGGGGTGGAGTGTGGGGGGTGCCAGGCCAGGGGTCCTTCCAAGAGGAAGTGCCACAGATGAGCACAGGCGATTGGCTGGCTGGGGAACGGAAAGGGAGATTTAGCAAGAGAGATGACTGTTAACAGCCCAGCGTGCGGAGGCCGCTTCCCTGAGACCAGGAGCACAGCGCAGGGCTGCGCCCCGGACCCCCAGAGCGGTGAGGACCACTCCAGCGGGCCGTGTGTCTCCTGCTGTGACAGGGGGAGGGCGGGAGGGCGGCTGGGCCCCCATCCCACTGTTTGTGTCTTTCTATTTTGGAGACAGAATTTCACCACGCAGCCCAGGCTGGCCTCCACTCTCCATCCTCCTGCCTCAGCCTCCCGAGCGCTGGGATGACAGGCGTGCATCCCCACGCGTGGGCTGTGATGCGCTGAGATCCCGTGGAGGGCCCTGGGAAGACGGGTAGATGATCTCCCCTAAGGGGAGATGACCTTGGGCAAGTCCACTGGCTTCTTAGCGCCCCCATTTCTCTATCAGTGAGGGAAGAAGGGTGGGTGGGCGGGAACAAAGATGGTTAGGCCCTGAGTGGGGTGTCAGGTGAGGCCAAGGCCTAGAGGCGGAGCTGTGTTCCTGGCCTGTGACACCCCCGGGGGGCTGCAGTGGAGAGGGGATGCAGGCAGCCCCCACGGTGGCACTCTGGTGCCGGAGGACTGGTGCAGAGGGGCGTTGTCTGTTTCCCGGAGCGCTGAGGGAGAGGAGATGGCAGCTGAGCAGGGACGTGTGCACGCGTTTGTTGATTGACTGGAAGATGTCCCTCTGTCTCTGAGTGGCCCCAGGAGCGTGGGGGGGGGGATGCTGGTGACAAGTGTCACCTGATCCAGAGCCCGCTCTGGCTTTGGCTGCAGGTTCCTGGCAGGCCAGAAGGAGGGGAGAGGCGTGGTTTCCGGGGCAGCAGGACAGGTGGCTGATGGCGGAAGGGAGGACACTGGGCTCCTGTGGGGCTGGAGCTGGGCGGGACCCGCTGTGGGGAGGGACGTTGTCCTGTGAGCGCTGGGAGGGGCTGGGAGGGGGGGTGCCCGGGCTGCTGAGGTGAGGCCTGGGACTTGATTCTGGGACTGTGAGAATCTGGTGGGCTCAGCGATCCGCCTCCCCACCCCTCCCCTCCCCTCCTACACCCAGTCCCGAGGCCTCTGTCCCGGGCATCTTATCAGTGTGTTGTCACTGCCACCGGAAGTGACACATCAGGCACAGGCCTGGCTTCCATCACATGCCCCAGTAGACACCGAAGGCCTGTCCTATCCTCACAGCTGACGTGGATCATATGTTCCACAAGTTTTTTGGGGTTCTTGTTTGTTTTTTGTCTTGCCAGTCTTGGGGCTTGAACTCCAGGCCTGGGCGCTACCCCTGAGCCTCTCTGCGCATAAGGCTAGCGCTCTACCATTTGAGCCACAGCTCCACTTCCAGCTATTCCAAGTAGTTTATTGGAGATAAGAGTCTCAGGGACTTTGCTGCCTGGGCTGGCTTTGAACCGTGATCCTCAGATCTCAGCCTCCTGAGTAGCTAGGATTACAGGGGTGAGCCCCCCCCCCGCCCGGCTCCACAAGTATTTTTAAACTGTCCTGGCCCTTTGGCCTATAGCAGTGAGCAGGAGGGGACATCAAACATGGAGGGGTTGCAATCTCAGTAAAAGGAGGCGGAGATGTAGAAAATCAGGGGATAAAAGATTGCTCTAGAAGATGACAAGTGCTAAGAGAAAGTAAAGCCAGAAAGGGAGGCTCACCCAGGCAACGGGGAGTGGTTTTAAGGTTTTTAGTTTTCAGTTTTTAATTAGCTCATCCAATCCTCAAGGTAACACTGAGTGATAGGTATTATTCTCACATTTCAGGCTGCGTGGGAAAGAGGCCACGCCCTCCCTGGGAGGTGATGCCCCGCCCTCCCTGGCTGTGATGGGCGTGGCCCGCCCCTCCTCAAGCTGACACTAAGCTGGTCTTTCTGTCTGATTGTAACTCACCCGGCTGGAGCTTCCCCAGAGGCCACTGGAGGCTCATGGGCTGGGGTGGGCAGGGTCCCCTCAGGGGGAGGGTGGCCGAGAATGGACAGTGGCTTTCTGAGTGGCCCAGGGAGGAGCCCCCACATCATAATCTCCATGGAGCATTTGGGGTTGGGGAACACTGGTGACAGAAAGACAGAGGAACATGGGGACTTCTCTGTGTCAGCCCTGAATTTCATTCTGGCCTCTCTTTGTTTACTTAGTTTTTATTTTGCTTTTTTTTTTTGTTGTTGGTTGTGGGGCTTGAACTCTGGGCCTGGGCGCTGTCCCTCACCTCTTCAGCTCAAGGCTAGCGCTCTACCACTTGAGCCACAGCGCCACTTCCGGCGTTTTCTGTTTATATGGTGCTGAGGAATTGAACCCAGGACCTCATGCATGCAAAGCAAGCACTCCACCACTGAGCCACCTTCCCAGCCCTCCTACTTAGCTTTGATACTAGATTGAACCTAGAGCCTCACACCTGTCAGGCCAGGGCTCCACCACTTGAGCCACGCCCCCAGCCATTGCCTTTGTACTTTTCTTTTTGGAGGAAGAAAACGCTTTTGCTATGTAATCCAGGCTAACCTAGAACCTGAGATCCTCCTGCTACATTTCCCAAGTCTCGAGGATGACAGGCTTATTCTTGGCTCTCCACCCCCTATTTCTTTATTTCTTCATTTATCAGTTGTGGGGCTTGAACTCAGGGCCTGGGCGCTGTCCCTGAGCTCTTTGCTCAAGGCTAACACTCTACCACTTTGAGCTACAGTGCCACTTCCAGTTTTCTGGGCTGGCTTTGAACTGTGATCCCCAGATCTCAGCCTCTTGAGTAGCTAGGATGACAGGCATGAGCCACCAGTGCCTGACTTGTTCATTTTATTTTATTTTTTGCCAATCTTGGAGCTTGAACTCAGAGCCTGGGTGCTGTCCTCAGGTTTTGTTTTTATTCAAAGCTAGTACTCTACCATTTGGGCCACAACGCCATCTATTTGGTAGTTCATTGGGATTAAACGCCTCACAGACTTTCCTGCTGGGGCTGGCTTTGAACCGTGACCCTCAGATCTCAGCTTCCTGAGTAGCTAGGATGACAGGCGTGAGCCACCGGTGCCTGGCTTCGTTAATCATTCTTAATAGGGAAGGAGAGAGCTGTGCAGTGCTGAGGCTCATTACCATTGTCAGCTAGGAAGGCTGGGGGCAGGGGGGGAAGTGGGGTCACCTGAAG